CTCTGTACTATCTGCAGATTGGGGACACTATAAGAAGGGGAGAATCAGAGAAGAGAGGATCAAACATCCTTTTACACAATGCAGAAGATTGACCCCCTAGGTTCCACGGTGATCATAACAAGCATGCGTTACTGCATATACAGACTGATTTTACTGTTGTGGGTTTAGTAACACTTTAAGATTACCCATAGCAGGGGAAAGAAAAGATACAACCTTGGACCATTGCTGTTTGCTGCCTGGTAATCACATCACATTTCTCACCATCTGATACTGTTTAATTGCTGCTGTTTTTCATTATTTGTTTATAATGTTGTGCTTTATCTTCCAGCTGTGAGCTAATATAGCATGATACCTCATTTCTGGTTTATTCACCATTGCGCGGTTCTCTTGCACATTCACCTTTTACAAATATAATTTGCTTATAGTTAACTGGTTTGATCTACTTTTCTGGTGCTTTTGCATTTCTGTGTTTGGGGATAATACGCGCCAATTTGCGCTGAAATAAACATAGAGGGCAATATACATATACTGTATATACACACACAGGTGTCTACAACTACTGCATATCCTCAGCCCAGCCAGGTGTGTCACAGATTACTGAACTGTTCACAGAGTCATGGCGCAATTACAGAGGACCCGATACATCAAGCTGCTCCTTTGGTGGTAAGGGCTACACGCCTAAAGGCACATGTGGAAGCATCATGATCCTTAGCTCTGTTGGTTTACATAATATTATTAATATAATTTATTATTATGTAGGATTTATATAGCGCCAACAGTTTGCGCAGTGCTTTAAAACATGAGGGCAGACAGTACAATTACAATACAATTCAATACAGAAGGAATCAGAGGGCCCTGCTTGTTTCAGCTTACAGTCTAAGATATTTAGGTAGATAAATGACCCACTTGAATACCAACCTGTATACTGTACATCCCTTTATTACCAGGCTATTTTTTAGTTTTCAGTGCTACTGATAGTTTGACTGACGATTAGATGGATAGAGCTTTCATTTCGTGGCATTTAGTAACCACTGGGTTGTATATTTTTTATTATTTACAGAAAAAATTAACAAAAATTTGTGATTGCTTATATTTACTTCTTCCTTTCATTTCTTCAGCTTTAAGAAAAACAATTCCATGATCATTGGTGGTCAGTGGTACCTTGGACTTTTTAGGCACTACAAAAGTAATTAATAAAAATACAACATATTATTGAACATACACATACACAATCATTACAGAATAATAACTTAACCCTGTAACATAAGGGAAATCACTGCAGATACACATACTAGATATTTTTGTTGAACCCCACAATATTATAGATATGCCAAACGTCTCGGCAATAACTACTCTTTGTATAATGATGGTAAACCGCTGGTGAAGGAACTGTCAGAGAAATGTCAGAAATAGCGGAGCTCTCTGTTTTGCCGGCTGATCGGGAAAAAAAAACCGACTTAGGCTATCAGACACGAATCGCTATAAGTAGGATTTCTAAAATGGAAAATTTTTTGCGATGAAGTTACATTGATAGCACATACAAATCCTACATACGGTCAGAGCATACATATATTATAACAGATGATAATACAACAAATTATTAGATATACATACATCTACACAAAGACCATGCAGATGTAAGATTGTGAGGTTCACCGATAGTATGTGTATCTGCAGTGATTGCCCTTATGTTACAGGGTTAAGTTATTATTCTGTAATGATTTTATATACATATGTATATTATCAATAAAATGTAGTTTTATGAATTACTGTTGTAGTGCCTAAAAAGTCCATGAGTTTTCTCCTATTTACAACTAGTCTATACTAGGATGAGGCACTTTAGAACTCTTTATCTGCCCCCACAGTAACCACCCTGTTGGGAGCATTTATTTCCACTTTGCACGTCAGTGGCACCTTAACTTCCCCACCCACATTTTAGGAAAACAGTCTCACAATCACTGTTGGTTTTTTGCCACCACTTTCACCTTCAATCTACTGCAATATGTGTTCCTGCCAATGTTTACCAAAATTCAGTACTCCCCTTCCCCTGTTGTGAATTTGCTGTTTGTTTGATAATACTTTCCGTCTTTAGATTTGTAATAGCTGTGATTGGTCACAGTGGTCACAAGGTACAGAGCTGCTCTGGTTTTGTACATTTTGCCTGTGTTCTGAGCTATCCAATAACAACTCAATCACAACCATTCACGGGCATGCTGGCTGCCTGTGTGTGTTTTCTACAGTTCTGTTTATAAACTGTGTTCCAGAAAACAGAGGCCACCTTTCTGTCCCCCCTTTTTTTTCTTTGCTATTATTATTATTGTTATTATTATTATATGGTGGTATTGAAGTGATTAAATAGAGATTTCTACTTTACCAAAATTGTTTTTGTGGATAGCATTTCAATGATTGATTTTACTTGTAGACTGAAATTGCACTTTAATGCAGAAACCTCAAAATTATTCTCCAGTTTGGATGAAATATGAATATAGATCACATTTAACCCGTTCATGATCACTGATTATTGAAGTCTAACCTCTATGATTATTGTAGTCTAACCTCTATGATGAAGCTGTTACTGGGTGAAATGCATCAGTGTCCCAGGTGGGAGAAATTTTTGTACCTTTCCGTGGAAATTAAAAGCAGCTTTATACTAAACTTGGTGTGCAACATTTGCTTCATATAGTTTGCTTGATCATTAAAGTCTAGATGCCCAGATCAAATTTAGCAGCATCAGTATGCATTGTTTAAAGTATAAGTTCACCTTTACAAAAAAAAAAAAAATAAATAAATGTACAATTTTCTTTTTCGTTAGGAGCTTGAAAAGCATTGCGCTCAAAGTCAGCAGATCTGTGTGGCTGTCAGTCTGTACCTCCAATACGGGCTGGCTTTTACACAATGACAGGAAGCTCAATGAACTACATAGAGAGCTCAACAGAGCTCTGGTTGTTAATTGAGAACTACAAACTGACAGCCGCAAAGGCTTTCGGAACTTGTCGTTTTTCCATTAACAGAATACAATTTTTTTCAGTATGTGAAAGCCGGCAGAGAAAGAAGATCCCCCATTAACTGTCAAAATGGGGGATTGGGGGGAGAGGAGACCTGTGCATCTGTAACATGTTACATGTTACACCATGAACATTTTACATGTTACAGAAGGTCATATTTTAAGACCACATAGTGTTTTTATTCAGTTTTTAATGAATGCCCTGCTCATGTTTTATTATAAGCAGACACATTTACAAAAAAACACATTTTTGGTATTTACTTTTTTAACCTTTTCAGTACCAGGCACTTTCACCCCCTTCCTACCCAGGCCAATTTTCAGATTTCAGTGCTGTCGCACTTTGAATGACAATTGTGCGGTCATGCAACACTTAACCCATATGAAATTTATATCAGTTTTTTTTCACACAGACAAAGCTTTCTTTTGGTGGTATTTAATCATCACTAGGTTTTTTTTTTTTTTTTTGCTAAATAAATGAAAAAATACAGAATATTTTGAAAAAAAAAAAAACGTTTTTCTTAGTTTCTGTTATAAAATTTTGCAAAAAAATAATTGTTCTTCATAAATTTAAGCCAAAATGTATTCTGCTACATTTCTTTGGTGAAAATAACCCAAATCAGTGTTTATTATTTAGTCTGTAGGAAAGTTATAGAGTCCACAAACTATGGGATATATCTGAAAATGTCAGGACAGTACAGATATCCCCCAAATGACTCCATTTTAGAAAGTAGACAGTCCAAGGTATTTAGTAAGAGGAAAGCTTTTTGAAATTGTAATTTTTTGGTCATAATTTTTTGAAAATGAAGAAAATAAAAAAAAAATCACCAGTGCAGTGCAGTCATCTTATAACTGGTGTAGTGGTGATCAGGGATATTGACTGGTGACAAACAAAAACAATTTTAATATTTTTTTTTTCTTTTTTATTACATTGTTTTCATTTTTGCAATTTTTTTTAACACACTGTTACCAGAGCAATATAATGTTACCATAGGCACGTTTCAGGAAGATGCCATGACATCCACCCGGAATGACAAAAGTGGTTAACTGATTCATTTTTAGGCACTGAATTCCTCCTTTTATACTCTACATCTCACACAGTGCACACAGGAAGAGGTACAGCACTATCTGCAAGCTGAAGAGATCCTTTTGTAAATAAACCTCTCTAGCCCACATGTGGTCACCATTAGAGATGAGCGAAGTATTCAAAAATTCGATTCGGCTGATTCGGCGAATTCGAGGAATAAATTCAATTCGAGGCGAATATATTCGCTGCGAATTTAACTTTAAAAAGGGTGTTTCTAGGCTTCAGAGAGCCTTTATATTAGTGCAGAACACTGTACCTTTAATTTTAATGCCTTGGAGTCTGCTGGGACAGAGAAATAATACTGTCAGTCAGTATGACATGCAGATTAGTGCCGTCGATCTTAGAATCCACCGCACACTTCACTCATTTGGGCAGTCACGGGGCCAAATCCAGAGTGTGGAGCCACAGTGTGGCGGTGGAGGGCAGCAGCAATGGGAGGCCCATACAGCACCCTATGAATAAATGGAACCCACCAGAAGTGTAGGAGACCTGAAAGTGGCACATGGCAGAGTGTGGCGATGGAGACAGCAGCAATGGGAGGCCGTACAGGGAACCCATGACAGATTACGGGCTGGAACCTGGCAGCAGCATGAGGAGGCGGCGGGTACAGGGGCCCATGGCAGATTACGGGCCTGGCAGCAGCAATGGGAGCCCGTAATCTGCCAGCACCCTATGACAAAAATGGAAACCAACAGCAGTGTGAGGAGACCTGAAAGTGGCACATGGCAGAGTGTGGCGATGGAGACAGCAGCAATGGGAGGCCGTACAGGGAGGCCGTACCTGGCAGCAGCAAGGAGCGTACCCATGACAGATTACGGGCCTGGCAGCAGCACGAGAGGCGGTACAGGGGCCCATGGCAGATTACGGGCTTGGCAGCAGCAATGGGAGGCCCGTAATCTGCCAGCACCCTATGACAAAAAATGGAACCCACCAGCAGTGTGAGGAGACCTGAAAGTGGCACATGGCAGAGTGTGGCGATGGAGACAGCAGCAATGGGAGGCCGTACAGGGATACCATGAGAGACTCTGGACCTGGCAGCAGCATGAGGAGGCGGTACGGGGGCCCATGGCAGATTACGGGCCTGGCAGCAGCAATGGGAGGCCCGTAATCTGCCAGCACCCTATGACAAAATGGAAACCCACCAGCAGTGTGAGGAGACCTGAAAGTGGCACATGCAGAGTGTGGCGACGATGGAGACAGAAGCAATGGGAGGCCGTACAGGGACCCATGAGACACTCTGGACCTGGCAGCAGCATGAGGAGGCGACGTACAGGGGCCCATGGCATAGATTACGGGCCTGGCAAGTAGCAGCAATGGGAGGCCCGTAATCTGCCAGCACCCTATGACAAAATGGAAACCACACCAGCAGTGTGAGGAGACCTGAAAGTGGCACATGGCAGAGGTTGTGGAGATGGCGATGCAGACAGCAGCAATGGGAGGCCGTACAGGGACCCATGAGACACTCTGGAACCTGGCAGCAGCAGTGAGGAGGCGGTACGGGGGCCCTTGGCAGATTACGGGCCTTGGCAGAGCAGCAATGGGAGGCCCGTAATCTGCCAGCACCCTATGACCAAAAATGGAAACCAATCAGCAGTGTGAGAGTGAACCTGAAAGTGGCAAATATGGCTAGAGTGTGGCGATGGAGACAGCAGCAATGGGAGGCCGTACCGGGGACCCATGACATGAGGACACTCATGGACCTGGCAGCCCATGCAGAGTGAGGCGGCGGTTCACGGGGGCCCACAGGCAGACACTCTGGACGGGCCAGCATGAGGAGGCGTACACAGCAGGCAATGGAGAGGCCCGTAATCCTGCCAGCACCCTATGACAAAATGGAAACCCACAGCAGTGTGAGGAGACCTGAAAGTGGCACATGGCAGAGTGTGGCGATGGAGACAGCAGCAATGGGAGGCCGTACAGGGACCCATGAGACACTCTGGACCTGGCAAGCAGCATGAGGAGGTCGGTACGGGGGCCCATGGCAGATTACGGCCTGGCAGCAGCAAGGGATGGCCCGTAATCTGCCAGCACCCTATGACAAAATGGAACCCACCAGCAGTGTGAGGAGACCTGAAAGTGGCACATGGCAAGTTGTGTGGCGATGAAGTTGAAGACAGCAGCAATGGGAGGCCGTACAGGGACCCATGAGACACTCTGGACCTGGCAGCAGCATTGAGGAGGCGGTACACAGGGGCCCATGGCAGCAGATTACGGGCCTGGCAGCAGCAATGGGAGGCCCGTAATCACATGCCAGCACCCTATGACAAAATGGAATACCCACACAGCAGTGTGAGGTGAAGACCTGAAAGTGGCACATGGCAGAGTGTGGCGATGGAAGACAGCAGCAATGGGAGGCCGTAACAGGGAAACCCATGAGACAGTCTGGACCTGGCAGCAGCATGAGGAGGCGGTACGGGGGCCCATGGCAGATTACGGGCCTGGCAGCAGCAATGGAGGCCCGTAATCTGCCAGCACCCTATGACAAAATGGAAACCAACAGCAGTGTGAGGAGAACCTGAAAGTGGCCACATGGCAGAGTGTGAGCGATGGAGACAGCATGGGGGAGCAATGGGAGGCCGTACAGGGACCCATGAGACACTCTGTACCTGGCAGTCAGCATGAGGAGGCGGAATGTACAGGGGCCCATGGCAGATTACGGCCCTGGCAGCAGCAATGGGAGGCCCGTAATCTGCCAGTACCCTATGACAAAACCATGGAAACCAACAGCAGTGAGATGAGGACACCAACCCCTGAAAGTGGCACATGGCAGAGTGTGGCGATGGAGACAGCAGCAATTAGGGAGTGCCGTACAGGACCCCATGAGAGACTCTGGACTGGCAGCAGCATGAGGAGTCGGTACGGGGTGGTCCCATGGTCAGATTACGGGCCTGGCAGCAGCAATGGAGGCCCGTCAATCTGCCTCAGCACCCTATGACAAAAATGGAACACCAACAGCAGACGCTGTGAGGAGACCTTGAAAGTGGCACACATGGCAGAGTGTGCGATGGAGACAAGCAGCAATGGGAAGTCCGTACAGGGACCCATGAGACAGATCACGGACCTGGCAGCAGCATGAGGAGGCGTGTACAGGGGCCCATGGCAGATTACGGGCCTGGCAGCAGCACAATGGAGATGCCCGTAAATCTGCCAGCACCCTATGACAAAATGGCAAACCAACAGCAGTGTGAAGGAGACCTGAAAGTGGCAAACTGGCAGAGTTGGCGATGGAGACAGCAGATCAATGTGGAGGCCGTACAGGGACCCATGACAGACAGACCACTCTGGACCTGGCAGCAGCATGAGGAGTCGGTACAGGGGGCCCGCCCATACGGCAGATATTACGGCCTGGCAGCAGCAATGTGGAGGCCGCGTAATCTGCCAGCACCCATGACAAAATGGAACCCACAGCAGTGTGTGAGGAGACCTCGAAAGTGGCAAATGGCAGAGTGTGGCGCATGGAGAACAGCAGCGCAATGGGAGGCACCGTACAGGGACCCATGAGACACTCTGGACCTGGCAGCAGCATGAGGAAGCGGTACAGGGGCCCATGGCAGATTACGGGCCTGCAGCAATCAGCAATGGTGAGTCCCCGTAATCTGCCAGCACCCTATTGACAAAATGGAAATCCAACAGCAGTGTGAGGAGACCTGAAAAGTGGCACATGGCAGAGTGTGGGCGATTGGCGGAGACAGCAGCAATGGGAGGCCGTACAAAGGGACCCATGGGGGCGGATACTGGCCTGCAGCCCGGGGAGGCCCACTAGGGCCCATGGCAGATTATAGGGCCTGGCAGCAGCAATGGGAAACCCGTAGTCTGCCAGCACCCTATAGACAAAAATGGAACCCACCCCCGGGGCGCGACCTGAGACACTCTGACCTGGCAGCATGCATGAGGAGGCGGTACAGCATCAATGGGAGGCCACAGGCAGACGACTCTGGACGGCAGCACTGAGGAGCAACAGGGCCCAGCAATTACGGGGAGCACAATGGCCCGTAATCTGCCAGCACCCTATGACAAAATGGAAACCACCAGCAGTGTGAGGAGACCTGAAGTGCACATGGACAGAGTGTGGCGATGGACGAGACAGCAAGCAATGGGAGGCCGTACAGGGACCCATGAGACACTCCTGGACCTGGCACGCAGCATGAGGAGTCGGAACAGGGCCACCATGGCAGATTATCGGGCCTGGCAGCAGCAATGGGAGCAGCCCGTAATCTGCCTAGCACCCTATGACAAAATGGAACCCACCACAGCAGTGTGAGGAGACCTGAATAGTGCCACATGGCAGAGTGTGGCGCTGGAGAAAGCAGCAACATTAGAGGACCGTACAGGGGACCCATGACAGATTACGGCCTGGCAGCAGCATGAGTGAGGCGGTACAGGGGCCCATGGCAAGATACGGAGCCTGGCAGCAGCAATGGGAGGCCCGTAATCCTGCACATGCACCCTATGACAAAATGGAAACCAACAGCATGTGAGAGAGACCCTGAAGTGGCACAGTGGCAGCAGTGTGGCGATGGAGACAGCAGCAATGGGTAGGCCGTACAGGGACCCATGAGCAGATACCGGGCCTGGCAGCAGCATGAGGGATCGGTACGGTTACCATGGCAATTACGGGGCCAGCACAATGGCAGATTATCTCGGGCCTGGCAATGACGACTTGAGGTCTGCAATGGTGCAGCATCAGCCGACCATCATCAACAATTAGGGTCTCCGGCCTCACTACCTTGCCCACTCTCTTGCTGCCGTGTGGTCCAGGATGACAGACCTGCACAGCAATCTAACCCGGCTACCGAGCCACTCTCACCATCTCGCCAGAACTTCCTTCGCCTGGCTGCTGAAGGAGAGGCGTGACATGTCTTCCGACCGTTACGGGCCTGACATGCTAGGCAATGGAGCCTCTGTTTAATAGCATCTTCCACTCACTCTGTTACACAGTTTGGAACCCACACAGCTGTAGGATAGCCCACAATGCTGATACTTCGCTTGGTGAGGGACAAACAGCAAAGGGAATAGGGAGGTAGATGGACACGTGATTACACTCAGTGGGCTATGCTCCCAGCGGGAGGCGTACCCATGGCCCATGAACAGATAACGGTTGTGTTCTGATCATACCCACCGACTCGTTTGGCTGTTAGGTGTCAGAGACGAGACCAGAGAAAGAGGAATAGACGCTGACCGATGCGAACCACATCGATTGATGGCAGGGGTTTCCGTCGAGGTGGAGACACGGACCGTCGCTGGGTTGGACACCAAATGAGCCACAGGGCCTCTGGCTGCCGACTAGAGGCTAGCCTTGGACCCCTTCCTCGCTGCTGCCAAGCAGTCTGCTCGCTCCTTACAACAACAACTGTGCCTGCCTCTGCCACTCTTCCCTCTGCGTGTCTGTCTACACATACGATACTCTTTAATTCACGAAGGATTCAGTGTCCCTGAGTAACGTGATTCTGTGTCCCTGACCATGCCAACAATTCTGTGTCCCTCAGTAACACCGATTCAGTGTCCCATCATGTATACAATTCATTGTGATCCCTCAGGTAAAGACAATTCTGTGTTGTCCAACCAATCAGTAACAATTCTTGTAGTCCCTCATTAACAATTCTGTGCCCCTCAGTAACAATTTCTGTGTCTGCTTCCCTGTAGGTAACTAGTGCACATGGCCTCGTAATCCCTTCCAGCTGACACGTTCTGTGTCCCTGAGAGGTAACAATTCCTGTGTCCCTGCGAGTAACATCTGTTTTTTCATGAGTCCCTGATTAACCAATTCTGTGTCCCCTGAGTAACAGTTTCTGTGTCCACTGAGTAACAATTTCTGTGTCCCTCAGTAACCAATTCTGTGTCCCTGAGATAACAATTCTGTGTCCCTCCCCTCAGTAACAATTTTTCTGTGTCCCTGATCCAGAGTAAAATCAATTCTGTGTCCCCTCAGATAACACACATTCTGTGTGTCCCTCAGTAACAATTCTCAGGGGGGGGGGTGTGTCTGTCCTTCCTCAGTAACAATTCTGAAGTGTCCCTGACGTAACAGTTCTGTGTCCCTGAGTAACAATTCTGTGAGTCCCTGAGTAACAGTTCTGTGTCCCTGAGTAACAATTCTGTGTCCCTGAGTAACAATTCTGTGTCCCTCAGTAACAATTCTGTGGTCCTGATTAACAGTTTCTGTGTCCACCTGAGTACAATTCTGTGTGTGTCCCTGGGGTAACAATTCGTGTCCTCAGTCTTAACAATTCTGTGTCCCTCAGTAACTAATTCTGTGTCTGTCCTGAGTAACAATTCTGTGTCCTGACCCTCAGTAACAGTTCTAGATGTCCCTGAGTAACCACAATTCACTAGTGTCCCTGAGAGTAAACAAGACTTCTGTTATGGAAGTAACCTATGTCCCTAGGTAAAAAAAAAAACAATTCTGTGTCCCTCAGTAACAATTCTGTGGTCTGTCCCTGAGTAACAATTCTGTGTCTCCTACAGTACACAAATTCTGTGTCCCTCAGTTAACAAATTCTTGTGTCCTCAGTGAGTACAAAATTCTGTGTCTGTCCCTGAGTAACAATTCTAGTGTCCCTGAGTAACAGTTCCTCATTAACGTTCTCTGTGTCTGTCCCTGACGTAACAATTCTGTGTCCCTGAGTAACAGTTCTGTGTCCCTGGATTAACAATTCTGTGTCCCTACAGTAACAGTTCTGTGTCCCATCAGTAAACAATTCTGTGTCTGTCCCCCTGAGTTAACAATTCTGTGTCCCTCTCAGTAACAATTCTGTGTCACTCTCAGAGCTAACAATTCTGTGTCCCTCAGTAACAATTCTGTGTCTCAGTCCCTGAGTCCCTCAGTAACAATTCTGTGTCTGTCCCGAGTAAACAGTTCATTGCTGTTGTCCTGACAGAGTAACAATTCTGTGTCCCTGAGTAACAGTTCTGTGTCCCTGAGTAACAATTCTGTGTCCCAGAATGAGCTAACAATTCT